CAGAGAGAGGCACCACCACGCACCAGTCGCGGGCGGCCTCACGGAGGCGCGGGTGTGCATCGGTGTTCGCATGGGTTCGCGAGGATCGAGGAAAGCGAGGCGACGTCGATGTGCCAATGGTTGCGTGAGTGAGCTTGTCTCTGATACGATACGCCGCGATATACCACACCCTGCATGGTCGTGCCACATGGGTTGCACACGGGTTGCACAAGCGGCCAATGATGCCATGCATGCCTAACATTCTTAGAAAATCTGGTGTGTCTGTTATCAATCTGTCTGTTGGTGTTCCCTGCTTTCATACTGTATCCCCTGCTCACTCAGCGCACATATAGAGCCACCGGAGTAATCCTGCGTCCCGACCAAGCAACACAGCGTCCGTCTAACTCTCCCCCTCCACGACTACCACCACCAGCATCACCACCACCAAGAATAAGAATGCATTGAGCGAGTTAGTTATATTCGGTCACCTCCACTCTTTCCGCATACCGTCGGTGTCCCGAACAAGGTGGGGACGAAACCTAGGCAGGGAGAGGGAAGGAAGGGCGTGTGTGGGCACACGTGGTGGAGACGACGTGTGTTAGGGAGAATGATTGGAGTGTGTGAATGGGAGGAGGGAGGGGAGATGGGGTCGCGGAAACACGAGTTTCGACCAGTTTCAGACAAGAAAGAAAAAAAGAAAGGCTGGCAATCGCCGAGTCTTGCAATTTCACGAAGCTAAGCCAAAGTACTGGCACTGCGGGTCGGTCGTCTGGTTGAAGTCCGGGTTGTACTTGTATTTGTCGTTGCAGTCGTTGTAGTACGCCGGCGCGCACAGCTCGACGTCGTTGCGGTTCAGTGCCCACTTGGGGAAATACATCGGGTTTGCTCGAGTGCTAAATGCCAGGAACGTGACCGTGAGCGCAATAGCCGTCCCGCCGTCCAGAGCGGCCGACATGACGTAGGCGTACTTCTTCCACCACGCGTGGTGGTACTTCTTGACAAAGTAGTTGACGCCGAAGGCGACCAGCAGCGGCGTGATCAACATGGACAGCGTCGTGCCGGGGTCGAGTGAAATGATGGTGATCAGGGGCACGTTCACCAGGTGCCAAAAGCTGTGCGGCTGCCACTTGTGCAAGAGGTACGGGAAGACCGGCAGGACGGCACCAATAAGGAAGCCGTACAACGTGCTGGAGTATGGCGAGCCGGGTCCGAAGAAGCGCGCAGGGCCGATGGCACCCCAGATGGCGCCAGCGTTCAAGAACACGTTGTAGCCGTTGGCCGTCCAGCCAACGGGAGCGTCAACCTGGATCTTCCACACCAGCGGCGAGGTTGGGTCAGCTGCGATGATATGGTCTTCAGTGCGGCCGAAACTCTCGTAGATGATAAACGAGGTGAAGATGTTGACAACGACAGCAAGGATGGTCGAGAACAGCTGTACTGCGAACATCGCCCGAGGAGGTACCTTCATGTAGTGGCCCAGTTTTAGGTCCTGTACCAAGAACAGACCTTGGTACATGGCCATGTACGAGAACGTCTTGAATGCCATGACGGCGCCAATGCGACCGGGGAGGATCAAACCGATCAGGAACTCGGAAATGACGTTGAGACCAATCTGCTGGCCAGAAATAGCTTGGATGGTACCGATGGGAAGGATCGAGATGGCCGCGAGAGCGAAACCAAGGAGCACGCCCCACCACGGAAGCTGGAAGCCACCCCACTGGCACACACCGATGCCCATGATGAGCGTGGCGATCAGCAAGATGATGTACCACCAGTCAGGCACATCCGGGTATGCGTCCATGAGCTTGGCGTGGAGGTCATGCTTGTCAAGCTCGCTCATGGCGGTGCGGAAACGGTGCCACACGTCCTTGCCGTACCACAGGCCGACGTGCACAAGGCACGCGGAAAAAGTGATGAATGAGGCCAAGTAGATGTTGGCGAACCAGGTCGAGATGTAGATGGGGTGCTGATCCTGGTAGTACTCCTCCTTGAGCGTAAGGGTATTTGTGTCGACGAACCAGAGCGATTTGACAAACGAGCCGTTCTTGTTGAGTAGCTTTGGCGTGTTCATAGCATGGCCGAGCGGGAAGTCGCCAGAGCCGTTGGGACCCTCGGACGGGAGAGCCCCGAGTTCGAAGTCCTTTCCGTACATGTTCTTGACCCAGAAGATCGGGGTGAGAACCCAGGCGAAGAACCAGAGCCCGACGAACTGGTTGATGATGGCCCACAGCGGCGTAGTAATAGGGTTCCAGTACGCGATAGCGGACCAGTCGAAAGAAAATGACAGGAAGCCAACCCCTTGAGTGGCGGAGCCAAGCACGCGGAGAACGTCCGGGTTAGAGGACGAGGCGGCACCGTAGCAGAGCAGCGAGACGGCCGTCAGGATAGGCGCAATGTACTGTGGGAACCACTCGTAGACGAAGATTGAGATCACAACGTAGAAGAAGAAGCGCAGACGCGTCATAGGCAGAGTTGGGTCGACGTCCGGGTTGTTGAGCGAGTTGAGCAGCGCAATGGTCGACAAGTTGCTTGGCCACAGCATGGCAGCGGGGCGGACCAAGAAACGACGACAGACGCCGGCAAGACCATACCCGAAGCATTGAGTGGTGATGCCGAAGAACACGCAAGCGGCGACCGACAGGTTCTCCTCGTACAGCTGGTAGCGCTGGCCGATGATGTTGTACAGCGCGTAGGCCGGGGTGGTGCACGCCGACGTGAAAACGTAGACAAGCGCGTGCTCCTTGACATTGAACGGCCCCGGGTTCAGGCTGAACAAGCCGAACACGCTGACCTTGGGCAAGATGCGCGCCAGGCTGTGACCAAGCGGATACGACAACAGCACGGCGATAAAGGGGCTGACGGTCTGGTGAGAAGATGTGTCAGCACGATTGCATATTGCAATGGAAGCCGCAACTCGCCTCCCCCTCTCCTCCCCTCCTCCTTTTGTCCCATTTGGCTTACAAATGGAATCGTCCGGAACGTGAAAAGGGTATTAACGAGTGCGTAGAGGAATCCGAAGAATATGCCCAGGACCCAGGCGCGGATGGTGAGGGCCGGTAGCGTCGGGTCATCAGTGCGAGGTACTACAGCGTCGATGATGTCGTAGATCTCGTCGAGGTACGCGGCCTCGGGGACATCGCCCAGTTCGGCGATCTCCTTCTCTATCTCAGCCTTTTCGGCCGCGACTTCGGGGTCGACGTTTGGCAGCTCGGCTGTTGAGGATTCAAACGATGCTTAAATTTGACGATTCGGAACATGGCCCGCAGTATGTTGTATTGGCTCGTGTGGGTGTAGGGGAGGGTGGGGAATTGGGGGGAGGGCGGTGCTACTAGCAACCTCATTAAGCAATCAGGAGCGTGCGGCTTACCTTTGATGTCCGCCATGGCCGTGGTCAGAAAGCCAACTCAACGGCAATAAAAACGGGACTCGTACAACAGCTGTAAGTAGAATATAATGAAGAGGTCGAAGGAGGGGTGACGCCTTGGTATAGGAGGGGCTGTGTGCGGCTCGGGCGAGGCGAGAGGCGGGTTTTATATTGCACAGGAAAGTGAGGTGAAAGGTGAGTGAGATAAGGTCGGGGGCAGACAGTCCGACAGACGTAAGTCAAACAAAGCAAACGACAGACTGCTGAGAGTGTTGTGGGTGTGTACATGCGGATGGGCCCGGGCAGGCAGGGCGCGCGGCCCGCAGGCAAGCAACGAACAAGGAAGCAGTCGGTCTGTCCGGCTGTCTGCTGCTTCTTCAAGCGTTCGTCGAAAGGCCGACCTGGTAAACTGGAAACCTGGAGCGAGATGGAAAAGCCGGCGATGGCAGGGTGTTCCGTGCGCGTGGTGCGACACACTGCAAGTTGGGTCGCACAATAATCTTTGACATGCTGGTTGTCAACCATGGCAAGTTCCGGATGCCCATGCGCGTCCTGTTGGCTTGATGGGCAGAGACCACGGAAACCCATGCACGCCCCAGGGGTTCCGATGTCAAGTGCCACATCCAGGGATTTATGTAACACAAGCCAATTCATTGGATGGGCAATGTGACTTCGGAGGTGGTGCGGAGTCGGGGGGTTGAGGTGACTGAGAAAAAGGAGAGGTGATTGCTCATCGTGTGTAGTAATAAGTGATTATTTATATTTCGTAACAATAGAGAGTGAGCCAGGCGTCGGTCCATCCTGCTCAGCTCTCGCCCACCCCTCTCCCTCTCCTCCTCTGCCTTCCTATTAATGCGCGTAGCCCGTGTGCCTTGCTGTAGAAGATGAGGTGATCGGCGAGGACGTCTGGTACTCGGCCTGTCTTTACGTGTGCGACCCATCGAGTCTCAACCTCAACGTGCGCAATCGATTAGGCATGCCGGCAGACCTTCGCGAATATTCGAGGGGCGGCTTGGATTATTGTCGGTTATTGAATGCATCTTTCGTCGCCAAATTCTTCCGCCAGCGGGTGGTTCCTGTAAAGCTGAGCATATCGCTGAACTAAACGTCACCTTGTAGCGGGATGAGGACAGTTGTCGTCGGTGCGGCTGGCGGTGGGAGAGTCGACTGCGTCACGGGGCCAGATCCGACCTATGCCTACTCTAAATTCCCGCATCGACAACTATGAGAGGTCGCTAGGGGGAGTTCTGGTGAGCGCCTGCTGTGCCTGCGGCCAGCTGGGTCAGGGCGGCAACTGTCTGAATGGACAGGAAGCCCACACCTGCCCTCCCAGTCGTGCGACCAAAGGAGCGAAAGCCCAAGCGCTTAGCCGTTACAACAAAGATTCAGGAACAATTCGAGTATATTCACTTCCAGACACTCAGCTTGATATATCAATGTCGGTGATCATGTTGAGGCCGTCGGCGAATGCGTGCGCGCACAAGTCCTGACGCGGTCCGACAGCTAGATCTCGATCTTGACAGTAGCTCGATGTAGCCGGCCGAACAGGCTCTTGATCGTTGGAGATAACCGGATGAGGTCACGATCCAATGGGAAGAGTGACTTGTTGACGCATAAATTTTCATATTGATAAATATATTTTTTAAACTGTTCTCCATCCCAGATCGTCTAATGGTTTAAGATTCGGCCCTCTCACGGCCGCGATCGGGGTTCGATTCCCCGTCTGGGAGTATATTTTTCAATTTCGTGGATTCTGGCTTCGCCTGTTTACTTTTTTCTTGGTCGCCGTCAAGATGTGTTACAACCCATTCATACTTGGCTTGACTCGGATGAATGCACATTGCTATGGCATCGCGGAATCCGTCCATGAACAGCGATGTATTGATCCTCTTTATCTACTATTTTCGGCGCATTTCATCAGGTTCACTTGGCAAGCAATGAGAAGTGAGGCGATGGCCTGAGTTATACAGGCTTTGACCGCCTGAGACAGCCATGAGCATATGATAAGTACGCAGGTACATCGACTGTTGAAGTAGGCTGATTGAAATCAAGAGCATGGAGGAAGGCGGAAACAGATGAAAGGAGGGGGTATGGAGGAAGAAGGGAGGGACCCGGCGGTTGAATCATGACGGCTTCCTGACAACAGGTTACCGGGCGGCGTCACCCCGCAGATGTCGAGGACAAGCTGGCTGGGCTTTGCATAAATCGGCACAGCACACGGGGTCACCGTGGAGGCGCAGGGTAGGGCTAAGACAGAGAAGAAAGGGACGGACACCGGCGGCGGGGTGGACGTGTGTGCACAAGCCACGACGCGCCGCGCGTTTGTTGTCATGGCTGTAGGTCAGCAGGTCGGCAACATGCA